GATAGATAGATAGATAGATAGATAGATAGATAGATAGATAGACAGACAGACAGACAGACAGACAGACAGACAGATGAGGGATAGATAATATTTTTAATTAATCTAAAAAAGCAATTAAAGCTTATGTAGCTATATTTGAAAAGAAGTGATCTGAGACCAGGTGTTGTTTCACCTTGTCACTGAATGCTAACTATAATTTAAATATTACATATAATAAAGCTACTGTATTATGCACAACATAAGCATCATTAATTTATTATGCTCAAAGTAGAACTGCACAATAGTCACATTAAAAAAAACCACCTTAAAGAAATGACAGGTTGTAGGAAAGGAATAGAAATATATATATTGTTAAACTTTGTTTATGTATATAAATGGTTCATGAATAAAAGATTACACATTTCATTTACAGGTTCTACTACTACAATCACACTTGAAATTTTCTTTGAATTTTACTTTTTGAAAATATACAAAATCCATCAAGGAACTTTTGACATACTGTTTAATTTGGTTCTTATTGCATTACTCGGCTTTTAAAATTTACACCTATATTAATTTAATGAATTATGAAATGAATCAAAATAATCCACATTAGTTTTTTTGCTTATACAGGTAGTTGACTTATGACCACAATTAAGCCCAACATTTCTGTTGCTAAGTGAGACAGTTGTTAGGGGAGTTTTGCCCCATTTTACAACCTTTCTTGCCACAGTTGTTAAGTGAATCACTGCAGTTGTTAAGTTAGTAACACTGTTAAGTAAAACTGGTTTCCCCATTGATTTGCTTGTCAAAAGGTCACAAAAGGAAATCACATGACCCACTATAACCGTCATAAATATGAGTCCATTGCCAAGTGTCTGAATTTTGATCATGTGACCATTGGGATGCTGCAACAATCATAAGTGTGAAAAACAGTCATGAGTCACTTTTCTCAGTGCTGTTGTAACTTTGAACAGTAACTAAACAAATTGTTGTAAGTCAGGGACTACCTATATAAAAAAATAACATTTTGTCCTGAAATTTAAGTTTGAAATCTGCAGTCACAGTAATCAAAGTTATCAAACAAACCACTTCATGAACTCCATATTACCCAGGTTCCCAGGTCCATTAGCAAACCTATATTTTTCAGCTTTTCAAGTTCCTTTTATAAGACATTAAACATTGATAACCTTTGTCAGAGGTTACAAGCTTTGACTAAAATTAACATCAAGAAATTGTAAATATTCAATCTCAAGAAGTAGTAGCTTGTATCTATTTATCACAGAACAGTGAATAGATGCTTTAAAGACATAACTCAGTGAAAATTTGTTCTCTACTGCATATAAAACTTTTCTGAGAGTATATTTTAAAATAAAAGTAACAATTTTAAATACTGCCATATATTTGATTTGAACAGCAACTAAATAAAATGGGCATGCAACATGTATATATTTTCCATGCTACCATGCTTACACAAAAACATACATACAACTGCAAAGAAATATACAGAACTGTTTAATTTGTGCACAAAATCTACAACACTTGAATAAAGCGCTGTCAAGTAGTTGTGGCTAAATATATTGCTTACTTAGTGTTAACAAAATCGTGAATATGTAAACTGAGTCAACCTTGAAAACTGGAAGTTTAAACTGTGGAGAAGCAATGCATAAATAAGTATTTAAGTAGATAAAAATAGAATACATGAATGGAACTTTGATATTTAAGCATAGGAATGCCTGCTTCATCACTAACTAGACTCATTGAGAATGAAAATAAAGTGCCTATATTGATCTCAACCCCCTTCTTGTAGACAAGAAAGACAGTAAAATGGAAGAGAAATCTTAAATATTATCTAAGGTGGGCTGCACTATTTACATATAATGTCTTTGTATAAATCAGGGACTGAAGAATGTCGTTTCTGCCCAAAGATGATCTGATGATTTGATGTATTTTTTTTTAAATGATATCTTCCAGAATTCAAAGGACTGTTCACATTTTAAAGACTTACATGCAAAGTAAAATGATTTTCACTGATACTTTCTCTCTTTAACAACTAATATATTAGTATATAAATATCACAATGTATCATTATAGTTTCTTTAGCATCCTCATTTCTTTTCTTGCAATCTATGTATAGACCAAGTAGTGACATTTACTTGTGAAAATTAAAAATCAAGAGTGCATTATGTGGTTAAAAAAGTGGAAATAAGGGTAGTGAAAGACGTGGGAGCAGCAGCTGAAAATTTGAGTGCAGAAAGAAGTAACACAACTGCAAACCTCTGAAGAGTAAGGCCTGCGAAGAACCAAACTCTTTGGATAAAAGAAATCAGATGAGGAATGCTGTTATAAAACACAAACAACAAGGAAAAGTGAAAAAAGGAGAACGGTTTCTTTAATGGATCGAGGTTAGAGAGGACGCGAGAGCCAGGACTTCAACACACAGTTTCTTAAACATATATATTAAAGAGAAGTTCTTCCCTTTCCATAAAAATTGTCTCCTTATAATCATTGTGATATTTGGTACATGAAAGCAGTTAGAGAAACAGTTAATCCCCACAAAAAAAATTGATAATGGGCCATGTTAGAAAGCAATAAACATTCCCCACAGTTTTATACCTGATTACTTTATTTCCTGCTTTTTCTGGCATCTATAACTTTCTATGAAAATTTCCCAAGAGGAACAGATCTTAAATAATTATTGTTTTTATGGACTCCACCTAAAATCTAACCTAGCAGGAACTCTTGATAATAACCAGCATGCAGTCCAAGATCTGCTGTAGACAAAATTCTGTATAATATACTGATGATTGCTGAAACTATTTCAACAAGTAATTCTGGTGGTATGTATTTTGATTGTCAGGGGAAATACAATGAGGACAGTTTTGATTCTCTGCAGACCTATACACTTTTTGGAACTACTGAAATAGAGTTTATAATTTAGATGCAAAACTTCTTTTATGCTGAACCAGACAAGCACCTCATGTAGGAGAGAAAAGAATGGCTGCAGTTTCCTTGGAAACAGGGAATTGTGCTAAATGGTTTTGAAAGGTCAGTAACACTTAGCTGAAGAATTATTACTACACTAATAACAACAGATAAACAATCTGGCCAACAGCATGTTTAGATCTTCAACTTAGAGATGAACTAATCTTACAACAAATGTGTTTGTTTATTAAGCATTTATATCCGGCCCACATCCCAAAACCCAGGCAGTTAACAACCATTTAAAAAGAACCATACTTCTGACTTTACTATCTATCAATAGTCCAATCTTTGTGGCTAATTAAGTTAGCCTTACAAATTTTAATGACTTCCAAAAGGGATACTTAAGGAATACTGTAGATCTATATGTTAGGAATCATTACAGACTCTAAGGTATACACATTCACAAAATGAAGCCAAATGAAGATAATGACGCAAAACTTAGGGCAATATATTTGTGTGGAACACAAACAACTACTGACAATATCCCATTTAATAATATGAATAATGGTTTGTCCATACAAGTAACAAGGAAAAGAATTTTTCTGATGCTTGTTTGCTTTATGTTATTTCCTTCCAAAAATTCAAGTTTTTCAGTGTACAGTAGTAAAAAAAATCTTTTGGGAAATAAAGTTTGCTCCTTCCTTTAATCAGTGGAAACATTTTCTGGATCTCATTTATTTCAGGAATAGAACAAAAAATCCAGATCCATATATTATCAGTAAGAATGCAATATAGTACCATGAAATTTTAAAATGATGAAAGTTAATTTATGTATTTATGAAATTTATACACTTCTGAACTGTATGACAGTGTAAGGGTGTAGAAAGGAGGAAAATATCAAAATGACATAGGTGAATTAAAGCAAAAATATAATGCACAATAGTTTTCTGTCTTCTTTGGGACACTGAAATACTACCCATTTAAAGGTTTAAAGGTTTAAAATAAACATTTGTCAAAATATCATGTAATGTTACATGACTGTTTTTCAGAAACTCAAAATGCTTTTATTCTTTTTGTTTTCTTCATAGAATCTGAAAAACATCCTGTTGTTCCACCCACATATGGAAGAATATTCCATAAGTTATGAGTATGCAAGCCTATAAGTAAATCAGATTATATTGTCAGCTTATAACATAATCATTAATTAAAATGATTCATGATTCCTTTTTCTTTAATGGAATTCAGAATGATAAAATACTATACATAAATTGGTAGATTTAATACATTTTTCTAATTATTTGATGAGACTTATCCTAGAGTCATATTAACTTTAAATAAATGAACAGGATCACATCCTTAACTCTGTAAAAAAATTTCTAATTTCTAAAGGAATCATATAAAATCAAATTTTTATTTACAGCCCAAAACCAAGAAAAAGATCAATAGTATAATTATAAAAAGGAGCTTTAAAAATTTGCAAAAAAAGTAATATTTGTAAGTGAAACAAATAATCATATACCAGTAGTTTTTAAAAATTCAGAAAATGCAAATTACTTCTTACCCTTAGCTTTTCTTCTCCCTTTGTAGACAGTTTACAGTCGGGGTGCCAAACTGTAGAACCTATTGTGGAAAAGAGCAAGAGAAATCATATTACATTTCAATCAGCTCAGAAGAAATCCATTTAAAATAGGGTCTTTAATTCTTCCCACTTTCCTGAACTGTAGAAACTTCTGCAGTAGCATCCTGACTTGAATCAGTCTCCTTTTTAAAAAAGACGTAATATTCTGTTTCGTAATATTCTGTTTATGTACAATTATTCACATACTGCAGAATTCCCAGAAGCAAGTCTGCAGCACACGGGTGCAATGTCAATGCACGGATGTCTCAAACAGTTAAGTCTTTCGGCAGATTTACATTTTCCAAGGCTCTTCCTTCCACATTGATTGAGCTGGAGAAAATAATTGTCAGAGCTCCCTGTGTCAAAATTAAAAGGTGCACTGCTTCTCCATTACTTAGCTTCAGAAAGATCAGACTAAATCAAATGTTAGTTTTGAATAAACTTCTCAATTAACAAACGCCTTTTTTGTCATGTTTTCCTCTCACCTCCTGGATCTATTAGCAGACTAGATGTCCCTTACCTAGCACCTTTTGGGGCCACCCTAACCTCGCTCAGAAGATTGAAATGTTTCCCTGAGACATATTTGGGAGACCCCGGCAAATCTCGGATGCAAGGCAAAAGGACATGTGAAAAAAAAAAAAGGAAAATTCAGTTCTATGATCAGAACTTAGATTTAGACTGGATTAAGGTAGAAGTCAAGATTCTCATTCAACAGGAAGATATGGCAAAAATTTCCATGCTATTTGTATGCAATGAAAACACTACCCAAACTGAAGTTTCCTCTTTAAACTTCCGGATCACATAGCTTTGCACTGCTTTGTACTATTCTTTAAAAAAAAGTTTAAATTAAAAAAAAAACTCCTGCACTTTTTTGTTGTTGCTGATAAAGAATGGAAATATGTTAATAGTTAATAGAAACTTGTTTTCCTACAGTAAATTCTGGTACTTCTTATTTTTGGTTTAAAGGGAAAGAAAAAGCAAATATGTTATTTACTTACGTTTAGAGTCAGAAAATTATATGTTAATTTATATTTTAGCCTTATTTTCTAATAACACACCTGGATAGGGATATGAACTGAAGCAAGGCAATATTTTTATTTTTGGTCAGCATCAGAAAAAATGATGAAAGAAAATCCACATAGATTAATTAATGATACTAAAAGCAAAACAGTTCTATTATAACCTCAGTTCAGCCTTGAAGACCTTGTTAACATGTTCCTGAAAGACAGAGAAGGTGAGCTTCCTAGGTCCCATCAGAACTTGCTGTTTAATGGATGGGACCTGGACCATAACAACTTTTTACACTTGTACAAGATGGGAAGAAACTATTGAAGTTCTTAATAAAACCATACCACAAAAGGCTTTATTGATAATATAAATCTTGACTTGCACCTGGAAGCTGGGCATGCCCATAATCTTTCTGCATTCAGCATTACCTGCAGCTTCTCTCTCTCTCTCTCTATATATATATATACTGTATATCTATAATTTATATACCTTGCAGATACATTTCTTCTCCTTCTGTGAACATCTGGTTGCATCTGCTGCATCGTGCACAACTTGGATGGTAATGTTTGTCTCCTGCCTGCAGAAAAGATAAGTGTGGAGAATAGAATGTGATCTTCATTATCTATCACCAATATTTATACAAAAATGGCACAGTTTCAGTTCAAAATCCTGTACAAGATAGCAATAGCAATAGCAGCAGACTTATATACCGCTTCATAGGGCTTTCAGCCCTCTCTAAGCGATTTACAGAGAGTCAGCATATTGCCCCCAACAATCTGGGTCCTCATTTTACCCACCTCGGAAGGATGGAAGGCTGAGTCAACCCTGAAATGAATGATTAGAGACCAAGATACATTTGAAAGGTCACCTTTTCCCATTCACATTTAGGGAGTTTCTGAATACCCAAGAAATATGCTTAATTGAAACTAAGAAAAAAGTCACTGCAGCAGCTGAACTTAACTAGTTTTTAGGGGAATTCAACTTTTTCAAAAGAGTAGGCTGCTTCATCTCTTCTCTAATTATAGCCTTCTGCAAGTTGGTGAGGCTTTA